TTGAACTTTTGCATGGAGCGACATAAATTGAGCATTGCATTTGCAGAAACACTGTTCTATGCAAATGCAGATAGTGTCAAAGACGTTATACGGTTGAACATCAAGAGGATTTACTAACAAGGAAAGCTACCTACTTCGCTCGTCCTTTTGGCAAGGGTCAGATATAATCTAAACCAGCGTTAAACGCTGTTTCCAAATATGTTATTCCTAGCTGCCACGCACCATTCCAAAGCAAGTCATGGGCTTCTTCCTGCGCAAGATTGGCTCATCGGCTCACTGGCATCACAACGTCACTATGTGCTAATATACTTGCTTTGAGCTTCCTTCCAGCAAGGAAAGATTGAATTTATGTTATTTCGACTATAGGCAGTCTTCCAATGTTCAGTAGTATGGAGATTTTGCACAAGAAAAAGCCCATAACTCGTTTCAAAATGGTGCATGGCAGCTAGGAATAGCTTATTTGGAATCAGCGTTTGGAGATGATTCAGAATATATATGTTTCTTGCCAAAAGCCGAGCTAAGTTGGGTAGCGTTCCTTATAAGTTTAGGTGTCTCAGGTAGGTGCCAGACTTATCCCGGTTCAACCGAATCGTCCGGTCCACTCATTCGCTATTGGTTGGGTCACCGAATTGACCAATAGCGAATGGAGTGAACGGAATGACCGATTGTATTGCGTAAGTCTGGCACCTGCCTCAGCTCAAAAGGGAAATAAAAAGATAATCACTGAATCGCATTAGCGGATGCTAAAGACTGTTGAAGATAATTACCTGATTATGGATGGTGAATTCAACGACAAAGGTCTGCTGTAGTATCGTATTGTTGAAGACTTCCTTCTGGATCGTTAACTTCACTTTAATTCTTTTCGAGTGTGCCTCCGTCCAAACAAAGCATGCGTCGGTTAAACGCACCTGAAATGTCAAATTCATCTCTTAGAACGGAAGTTCATACAAACGCACCTTCAGGAGCTGAGGTTTCATCTTCTTCAAACATATTGATAAAAGTTCTCTCGACTCCGGTTCAGCGCGCATCCATCCGCTGGGCGGCACGAAATAACGGTCGCAGAATTTGCATATGTAGATGATAGCTGTAACTCTAATACTGAAAAAAAAAACAAGAGTGAGGTATAGACAAAGCCCTACATGTCCGGCTGATGCCTTCCGTGATGTCCACCTTCGAACGTATGCAACCACTGCACATGTTGGCTGCAT